CCTCGCCGTCGGGGTATGCTCGCCGCGGACGGGATGTTTAGAAAATCCGTTCCCCGCAATTCGGCTTCGCGTGTACGCGCGGGCCGATCCACGCTGAAACCGATCGGATCGATCGCCGGAATGTTTTGTTACGTGACCGGAGACGGGTGAACGGGCAGCCATCGAGTATTAAACGACCGTGATTCGCTGATCCGCGAGGAAAGGGGCTTCAATTAAACAAGGAAAGAGGAAGGGAATGATGAAGAAGAGAGAAGGAAAAAGGTGATGAAGAAAACGAGAAAATAAAAAGGAAACAGGAAACGAAAGAAAAAGGAAGCAAAACGAAAAGGGAGCAGAGAAAGGAACCTTAACACGAATTATCGCGATCGTTTCCGACACCGATATCTTCGACTCCTTTCCCAATGATTTAGCCGACAGCGGCGTTAGGTCCTCGCCCCTTTCGATTCTCCTCGAAGAATACACCCGTTCGAGCCGCGACTCCCTTTGACGCGCGTGTACTACTTACCGGGGGCCCACGACGATCCGGAGCACGGATTAAATCCTTGGCGGATAGTCTCGTCAAAAAGCTGACAGCCGGTTCTCGTTTGTCAGGGCGCTCGCACTCGTAGCTGGAGCGATCGGAGGAGAGGAAAAAAAAGGGAAGAATGGGCGAAAAGGTGGGGCGCGGGGCGAGGGGGACGAACCGGCGAGTCGAAGTCGCTTTCGTCTCGGCGGCTACGCGCGCGGCGGCTCTCATAGAATCCCTAATCCGCGCCGAGATCTAAACGGTTGCCAATCATTTCCGGTTCTCGGATTAGTCGCGCGCGAAAAGTCGGATCTCCGGCCGTGTGTAAAGTAGTACCTAAGGGCGTGAAACTGGCTGTTGCTGGTCGCTAACTGCTGCCGGCCGGACGGCTCCTCCCTGCGCCGAGACCGAACGACGACAATGCCTTCCCGGGGACGAATGTTGGCTTCATAAGCGGATTACAAACGATTTGTACACGCGCCCGAAAAAGTCTACGTTTCCCGTGCAGCGGATTCCCGTGTTTCCTACGCGTTTCCCGCTCGTCGAGCCGCCTTCGACGAGAGCCTGCTCCTTCTGGCGAAAGGAACGCTTCATTCATGCTGTCCGACGATCGCCGAACGCGTTTTCAATTCTGCGCGTGTCGCTCGGAGATTTCGAATGGAATTTCTGGGTAGTTCTTCCTGAATGTTGGATGACGGTGATCGTTTATTTTGTGTAATTCGATTGAGGGAGCAATGAGAGAAGAAAGAGGAAAGTATTTGCTCCATTGAGACAGTTGCTTAGGGAAAAAGATGGTTGACATTTGCCTCATCGTTCCCCGAGTTAACCGAAGCATTACGTAAAAGCTCTGATCGCCCGTTCAGAATTCGGTTCACGTAAGAACCGAGGTAATTCCTCGTTAAACAGGAAAAATGGCGTCCCGATCTGGTCGTTGGCGAGCGTGACGCCAGAGGTCGCGCGTCCGACGCATAAAAATCTACGATTGATCGCGAAAAATTGTCGGCTCCGTCGGCGGCCGCGAGCGTGCCCGACGGCAATTACACCGGCGTTATACTCCTCCTAATTGGCTTTCATTAATTCTTTATTGGATTGAACGAACAAGGTGGACATCGGGCACGCGATTACTCCCGCGAGATTAGATGGACGCGCCGAACCGGTGCGAGCTTATCGGACCGCGATAACGAATATTCCTCTTCTCCCTCCGTTTTCCTCCCGAACGTCGAAACCGTCCGTCCTCGCGCCGGTTTCGAAAAGAAACATCCCCGACGCGGCGTCCGAGAGAAAAAGGGAATCGACGAACGAACATCCGGCCGAGTGGAGCAAACCGAGCGAAATGATTACGTGACGCGACGTTTTGTAGCGCGGATCGCGACCTTCCGCCGGTCGGGAGGGGAGGGAGGGAGGGAGCGCCGATTCACCTCGGAACGATATCAAAAGAAACGATGTTCGGCGTCGAAAGCCGTTGATAGATCGGTAGGATGGATCGTGTATAATCACCGGTTCAATCATCCGGAAAGCGTGTTCGCCGGCAATTACAACGCCGTTACTCCTTCTAATTGGCCTTCATTAATTCTTTGCCCGACGTACCGGGCGACGATTAGCCGCGTGAGGTTAACCGCGACTGATAACGCTGTCGGGCAACACGTACCGCGCCAAGGAAAACCATAGTCGCCGGTTATCGCGGTCGCGGTGCAGACTTTTCCGCGGATATTCGATGACTTCGAATCGCCGGCTCGCCTCGTCGACGGACACTCGGTGTTTATTCTTGGTCCCCTTATCGGCGCGCTGACCATTTCCCTTGTCAGCGTATCAGACCGGCAACGAGAATCATTTAATCAGCAGGAAAAAATTCTGGACATACGGCGGTTCAGGGTTACACTCGAATCGAGTTTCGATTGTGATTAACTCGGGAACTTTTTCCCTGTAGTCGAGCACAGTTCGAAGGTCTTCCGACGAGACGAAGATACTTCCTACAATCGTCGTTGAAAGGGATCGTCGAGTGAATTAACGAATTAGTTTCGATACTTTCGAGTATTATTGAAGCATAAAAGTAGCATCGAGTCTCGAATTGTACGATTTCCGTGCATCGGCGATAATTCTCAAGCGCAACCGGTCGACTCGCAATCGGAACAGACGCGAACCGAGTCGTCGGATCATCGATTGTTTAAACGAACTCGCTTCTTATGAATTCCCGACGGCCCCGATGAATTCCCCATTGTAAAAAAGAGAACCTCAGCACCGGGACGCTTCCCAAAGAAAGTAATTGTTCGGAAGAGGCTAACAGATTCTTCGGATCGCGTGTTTTTCCTTTTTTTTTTCCTCCGCGAGGAGTCTATCTCTCCGCCGGTTCTCACAATCAGAAGCGGTATTAGTGCTCGGGACCGTGTCTCTAATCACGTAGCCGTAGTCATGCGCGTAATTGTTCTTAATGTGCTTTTTGTGGGAAATAAGCCGATTACGGTGTAAGCGTATGAACTTAGCCTCGAAGGAAAGTGCCGTGGAACGTCGATCGAGCGGCACCGTGGAACGGGAACGCCGCTCGCCGGCCGCGGGGAGGAGGGCGGAGGTGAAAAAAACCGAGTTGTAAATTGACGGAAATTGTTCGCCGGGATGATTGGTATTAGCTGTGCCTTCCTCCCGTGGCCGATGCCGCGGCTCTACGCCCGAGGGCAGCTGGAAACTGACAAATGTCGGTAATTACCGGCCTTTTTCTTTCCATCGGCGACGGCCGATCGTAACGTCCGACGACGGACATCATCGACGCGCAACGTTTAATCACCGACACTCTTTAAAATGTCCGATAATGACGGGACGGCGGGGTACCGTTTCGCGCGGCGCGTCCCTGTTTGGGCAAACAATATATATACGGTGGGCGCGTGTAATTTCCAGATCGTCGGGTCGCCGCGAAAACAAGACCGACACGAATCCGTAAACGTTCGGCCAGCGGGAATAATCGACGGAAGTGTCGAAACGGTCCGCTCTCTCGCCGCGTGTAATCGTCGCCCGGGATTCCATTAGCCGGGGAAAAAAGACCGCGGCGGCCCTCTAATTAGCGGACACGCCGAAAACGAGGAAAAAAGAGCGCGTCGGCCGATCGTTAAAAACCGCGTTCTATCGGATTTCGTTGGCCGTGGATCGATCACCGGGGGCCGATCGGCGAGGGTCAACAGCCGCGAGGCTCGGTCAATTAGGGAATCCGTGGATCGGGATGAACTCGGGACGGTAACAGGTTAGAAATCATGAATGGACCGCGATGGAATCGATCTTGATTTCTAACCGATGCTCGAACGCGATTCTGTCGGTTGAAACGGATTCGAGAATCCTCCCGAGATTTCTTGCCGGGCATTAACGCGTTTTATGTCGTGACGGAGCCTCGCGTTACCAGTTAAAAGTGTGCGCGAAAATACACCCTTCGCGTAACCGGTGTTTAAACCCTTGTCTTTGATTTCTGGTAATTATCTCTGTAAATGACTTCACTCTTCGCGACGTTCGAAGGAAAGAAGTCATTTCTGTGCTCAGTGTGGTTATACGTTTACTGTTGGAGGTTGACGGAAAGATTCGCGGACGAAATAAAATTCGGTTTGAGATCTTTGGTACGAGCCTAATCGGTAGGATGATAGATAAAGTGTTAAACGGTGACACGGAAAGAAACGCAGGATTTATTGGGCACGGAACGCGTCAGGAGACATCAATCGCAGATGCGTCGATTAGGTTTGATACTAGACAGTCCCGGAAAGGAGGAGGGCGAGAGGTGGACACACCGTTACAGGTAGAAAAGCTGAATGAAACAAATGAGGGTAACATAATTAAAGTGTTCGGGCGGCGAGGTCCAATTTGAGACCATTAGAATTCCTAAACGATGTCGGGACAGGGCAGGCTCCCGTGATGACTGACGGAGGGGTCTTTTATCTCTCGGGAAATATCTGATCCTCCGGGCGACCGGGTTGCGTTTTGCGGCCTCGCGGCCAACGAGGCGACGCGACGGCCATGGCTCGACACGATCCTCTCGCGCCGAGTGGAACATCCGGTCGAGACAAGTCCGCCCCATAAATGTCCTTGACACCTTCGCGAAAGTCCCTGGTTGGCAATCGTAACCTCGAAACAAAATATCTACCTCCTTCCCATCTACCTCTAGATCCTCATCTTTCCCATCCCCTAACTGATAAGATTGACAGCTTGACTCTCACATCAAAGATAAAAGATACTAAGCATAATTACCAATGGCTCAATACCCCATTTCCCAGCCTCCACTGTAATCTAGCTACTTCAATTCCTAAATATTCGCAATCGAATTTTCTTATTGCAATCCATCAAAGTCATCCGATACGTTGATCACCGTCGATCCACCTAATCACTGTACTCTATTCTAACGTTGAGTCTTCGTTCCCTCTCCTCCGTTCACCGCGATCGCGACGATAACAAGATCGCAACTCATTCAGAGAAACGACCATCGAGTCACAGGCAAGATAAGAAGCATGCATAATTAACCGCTTACCGTTCGATGTAACGGAAGCGCCGTCGTGATGACTGGCGTCGCTATCCTCGTCCAGGTTGCTGTTGTTCAGAGACGTCCTGGACTGATGCCTGACACTGAGGTCCCTGGGCGTCGGCGGCGGGCTGCCGGGCGGCTCCTGTGTCTGCAGTCCGGCGGCCTGGTGCATCTTGCTCGACGCGCCACCGAGGATATCGGTGATCATGAATCGGGACCGCTGCGGCATGGTGGTGGACGCGTCGCCCCGTTCCAGGCCATTGTTGCTGCCGTGATTGTTGCCGCGCGCGTCCAGCCCGTTCGAGAGACGCTCGACGCTGACCCCGTTCCTCTCGACGATGTTCTCCAGCTTGTGCGCCTCGAGGCCGGACATTCTGCTCAGGTTCAGACCGTTATTGGCCACGGTGACGCCGCTCAGTGCCGCCACGTGGTGGTTCTGGTGATGGACCGTCATCACGGTACACGTAGGTGGTTCCCTCGGGCTACGGGCACCTGCAGGTGCCTCTGTCGCCACCCCAGGACTCGCCCTGTACCTGGGAGACAGAATCTTGTCGACGGTGACGGCGTCGCCTTCGTCAGGAACTTCCTTTCACCGAATCCTCTCCAACGGACGAACATACACTTTTCACTGTAGCAGGGTTAGCGTACCGTGCACCGGGCAGTTCTTCGTCTCCCTTCTCGCCTGTCCTGCAGCGGACATATTCACCCGTGGGATCGGTAGCTCGTCGTTCGCGCGCGCGGTCGTGAAAAGGGGATACGCAACGAGATTCCCTCCCCTTCGTCCCGCGCCGCTCGGGTTAGGCCGCAGATAAGTGAAGAAGGTGTCGAATCCCGCGGTCGATTTCGATGCGAGAATCGCGGGTAAATGGCGCGTGAGATGGTTGCGATGCACCTTGCGCTTCCTCCCGTTCACTCGGCTGCGCCGCCTCCTCCACCGCCCCCGGCCTGCTCGTCTCGGCCGCAATTAAGGGGCCGCCGCTCCGCTGGTCTCCTTGGTTAATTGCTAATTGGCCACTTAACATA